AGGGAAAAGCACCACAAAATTGATTTTCCATAAAGTTTCTAGTGGCACTTTCTAGTGAAAGGTTTCCTGCCAATGCCAAGTAGGTTGGAGCTAGATTGTCTTTAAAGTCCATTCCTTATTGAAGAATAAGGAAGAAAATAAAGAATAAAAAGCCTAATGCCATTTTTTAAAAAAATAAAGAAAGAAAAACAACCCCAAATAAACACAACCCACATGATTAGTTCTGACAGTCTAATATAGAGAAAATACTAATTTTCACAGGACTGTAATTCAGGCAGGTACTCTGTTAACTGAGGTCTAGTCTTGAGGCTCAAGTGTAAAAGCCAAAGGAAAAGAACTGTCAAACAAGTCAGGATTCACAGCACCTGCACCATCCTGTAGATCTCAGGACAGGTCTATATCCCTGGATAAAGAGCACATATGGCTGTTGCTGGCCAACTGTTGAAGACTGAAATCATGGGTAGAGCTGAACCAGCAGACCCAAAACCAAGAAGCAGTGTTTCACTGATGAGATTTCCAATGGCCAATCTCAGCAGCAACAAGCAGATCCAAAGTCCAGACTAAAAAACCAGTGTCTGTTACAGAACATGCCCACGTGAAGCAAGCAAGGAGTGAAAAAATAAAAATGTTGCGTCTTTTTTTATTTATAGTTCAGAGTCTGGATTAACATGGGCCCTCAAATTTCAAATTATCAGCTGTCCTAACTGCAATACCTTATTACTAATTGAGAATTAAGTGGGTAGTGCACAACCTTGTTTTACACTGACATGTTATGATAGGTGAATCAACACGTCTTCTCAGTGTGACGAAAGAGAATTAACTTTACGAAATGAAGACATGTTAAGTCAATTCCTTTAGAAACTGGAATTCACCAGAACAGCCAGCACTTAACAACAACCCTGGGAAGACACAGAAGTGCTTTACATATAAAAAGCCATGAAAGTGTGTACTTGCAGAAAATAATTTCTGCAACACCTCTAATAACATTCATGTTATCAAATAGATATTTAGGCTCAGAAGAACGATAACTTAAGATTGCCCATTAGAGTTTCATGTCAGTTCTTGAAATGTAGTTAGAGAAGAAAATGATTTTCCTGTTACCTGAAGAAATGCAGGTGGACGATTCTGAGCCGCTTCACTATCAGTATCCAAGAACTTCACAATGCGTAGATATCCAGGATATGAAGGAGCACTAACCTGCCCATCAGGAGTCACAAAGAATATTTGCACTCCTTGGGGAATCAAGATCAGCTCATCTGCATCCACTCCCAAGTTTTGCAGGGGAGGTGGCTGAGTACACTTGTTGTAGTAGTCCTCACCTACAGAAGAAAACTCCCCAGAGTCTGTGCCGTAAGACACAGTAAAATGGCCATTGGTAGCTTGAGGAGTATAGGCAGGAGGTGCTTCATTTGGCAGACAAAGAGGTTTTGCAGATGATGGACTCATAGGTGGAATTTGTGCCTGGCTCACAGCTGCAACGCTTCCATCTGCTGCAGAGGACTGACTTGGTACAAACAGAGAATCAGGGGTAAGGGGCTTTTCTTTGGAAGGAATGGATGGGTATAACTTGGGCGCCCCAGCAGGGACATCCATTGCTGCAGCACCTGCTTGTACAGGTGGAGTGTTTTGGTCTAGATCGCCGAGCCGAGCATGAACATTTTGCAGGGTCTCCCTCATCTTCTGTTGCATTTGCCTAGCAGACTCCCACTGGGGCCCGATGCATGCAGGACCCTGTGATGGAATGCTAACTCCTCGGAGCAAGTGGTCAAGCCCTTGCTTATAGTAACTTCTTGCCTCTTCCTTCTGACCCAGTTCATCTGTATTCAGTCCTTTATTGATAAAAATAAAGGCTTTCCTATACTCTTCATTAATAGCTTGAATATTTGCATCTTCTTGCATAACTGGATCCTGTAGTTGTTCCATTACTGCAGATGAGAACAAAAAAATCAATAAGAATATTAACAGATAAAGCCAAACAATGTTTACCTTAGAATAAAATGCCTTAATGATGACCATACTGCATGTATTAGTAGAAAGCTATCTAATCGATTGGAACAGCATCTGATAAGTCATGCTTATTTCCTAATAACATACAGATTCAGACTACATGAGTCCAAGACAGCAAGAAATTTATAACCATCATATCTAGTTACAACACAGATACTTATTTCTTAAAAGTTAAACATCAGAAGAATGTAGACATGCCTGACAATAAATTTTTCAGCCTAAAGATCAGTAGCAAACAGAGGAGTAAAAAAACCCAAACTTTAAAACATTCAACTTCGAAAAAAAAGTCACTAATATATTTAAAAAGTCAGTTAACATTTTGCCTATTTAAATCAAGGCTGAACTTAAAACCAGTACATTTCTATTCGAATAGAAAAAGCAATCAACAGATTTAAACAAATCTTGATCAGCTACAAGTAACATCAACACAAAACTAGGAAACACTCTGAACAGTTAAAGCTGTGCTTAACAAAATGAAAACAGGGAATTATTCAGTTCCTTTGCAGTGTTTATAGAGTGAGAAAAGACAATTGGTGTTTATGTGACACAAAACTGGAAGCACCACTATGTAGAAATGTTTGCAGGTTCTGGATCTATTTTGGAATTTATTCCTAAAACTGCCTCATGTATTTCAACAACTCAAGAGTGGAAAAGAATACAGTAGGTTTATTTGAATTGTAAAATGTGTAAAATCAGTGGTTTAACTGCAGGCAGAACTTCAGTCTCCATCAAATCCAGAAAATACAAATCATTATTGAATGAGGATAACATTTATAGCAACGCAAAAAAACTCCTGTGTTTTTTTGTTTTTTTTTTTGCTGGCAGCCTTGAGATGCATTGTCAATTCAGAAAAATCAGGTAATTATACTGGAATACAACAATGACTGTGGACAACAAAAAAGGGATACTATATAAAAATTCAAGAGTGTATACTTCCAAGCAAAACAATGATTCTCTGCTGCAAGGTGGCTGAAAGGAGACATCTGTCAGTCATGATGATACTAAACTACATAAAATATGGGGTTAAGTTATATCTAAAGTGCAAAACTAAATGCTTTCATCACACATCCAGAAGAATTAATGTCATTACATGCAGCACTAGTGAGAATTCACACAAAGCTGAGCCACACTCAATAAAGCTGTGCCAGAACAGCAAGAGGTGTGCAGAACATTACTGATTTTTTCCTGATGAATCAATCACTTTTCCCTAGAAAGATGTAGGTTTGGCTTACCAAGCCAATATAACACAGGTTAAGAGATTGGATTAGTCTCTATAAATAAACTAGATGAAAGGAAGGAAGTAAATCAGAAAGAAAAAAGAATTACTGATTCTAACTTTAAACAAAATCCTGAAATAGTACCTACATTTGAGTTTACTTAATGCCTCTTCTTGTTTTAGTCTAATTAGTAAAAAAAATAAGTACATATAATCTGGCAAATATATTTCCTCTATTCCAACAAAACCAGAGAAACTTTAGAAAGTGCAGGTCCTGAAAAGATTTTAAGAAGGCAAAGGAGGAATGCTGTGCTCTACTCCCACATGCTTTATGATCAAAATGCAGACAGTACTTGGATGACTGATGCATCTGCAGTCACACGACAGAAGTGCCATGTAATCTGGAACGCATCTCTGCTTTTGTAATGGGCAGAATCCAATTTCATGCAAAACACAAGATGTGTGGTTTCAATCCAACAAGACATATAGCTAGGGATATGACAGCGATAGCTTGAGAAGGCAGCCCACGTGGAATGGATCAGCAGTGACTCAAGCCACCAGGCTCATTGTCCATTCCCCATCACATGGCAGAAAAATGAGTCTTGGGCTGATTGATTGTAGTCACTTGTTGCCAACAACTATTTCCTATTGAAAAATCTACTTTTCCTTTTAAGAAGAACATAAAGGTGAAAAACAATTTAACAGTAAAGACCTCTGACTCAAGAATTGCAGGTTTCCAAAACACAGAAAATGTTTAGAAAACTGAGAAAGACAAGTTTAATTTATCACCACACTTTACTTCTTTATGAGCAAAATGTAGTGGTTTGAGATTTTTAGTGCCTGTATGCCCTAGCCTGTATAAAGTCCTGAAGGCTCTAAGGAACCAATTCATTTATGTGAACACAACTGCAGTACCACAGTCTACTTTGCCCCATGTTTATTGATTTATTTTTTCTGGGCGAGGCTAAAGCAAGGATACAGATTTCAAATGCTTCCTTTGCTAGGGATTGTTACTATATAACAAGAAGAGACATCAAATAAAATCCTAAAGTCATAGTTACGTTTCAACAGTTAATTAATTTCCTATTCAGTGTATGCTTGTCATACTGTCAGCAACACTGTTCTTGCTAAAGCTCAGTCTTTATTACATTAGAAAAGGTCTGTAAGAAAACAGAGATGTCAGCATGATCAGTGTCCATACAGCACCAGTGCACGGCAGAGATACAAAAGCTGCCTCAGCAACTCGGAAAAGCAGAATTGTTACAACTCATCTCTGTTTGAAATGTCCCAAGTTTGCAGTACATGTGCAGTATAGTTACCACCAAATTATGCATTTGAGTAGCAAAGCACTTGGGAATGGAGGAAGGACTTCACAGCAGATTTTAACCTGAACACAAGATAACTAAAAGCAGCCCAAAGAACTGAATTTCATTAATTCTTAGTAATATATTAAAACTAAACCAAAGTAATGGATGGCATAAAATAAGCCTAATTGTTCTCTGAAACAGAACATTTAAGTAGCAATCTGGCCATAGGCAAGGAATAGCCTTGGTCATTATTACTTTCAGTGTGTGATCTTAATATAGCATTTAAGTGTCCTGCATGTATTAATATTTATCTGTAATCTATTAGTGTAGAATGCAGAGTCTTATTTCCTCTGTTTTAAAGCTGCAGTGAATGACAAAGTGCATATTACTAAATCTGAGAGCGCTGCAACCAACCTTTGGTCCTATGGCCAGTTCAGATCTGCCTAGATCTGTACTACTCAGTGCTAAGTAAGATTTAGAGGAACTTATCTTGGAGAAAGACAGTCCAAAATTGAGCTAATTAAAGAGCTAACGGGCACTGTAGATAATCACAGATCGATCCAGTGCTTGAGCTCATTCCATAGCCCTTTTCCTTTTATCAGTACAGATATACCCTTTGGTTTTAAATGACTTGACCATGGCAGGCTACAGTGCAACAGGGCAACTTGAGTTTAATTTGATATTTTAAGCTAACATCTCAACTATGTGGCTAACCATCCTTCCTCTGAAGCAGCAAAGCCCACTTCATTAAAAAGTAATGTATATTAAAAAGAAATACAGGTCAGTGGTGGATCTCACTGCCAGAAGGTAAACATGAAGCTTAAGGCTTATTAAGAGGATTAAACATCCAGACTGACAGAGGTAGGACACCCTTTCCAACTCATTACTTTTGAAATGTGGGGGGTGTAGGGGAAGTAAATGCAAACCCAAAAAACCCAAGCATCACCCTCTTCCTATTTGTCAACTGTTTGTGTATCAACCACTGATTAAGGAGAACTACCAAGCAGACAGTAACTTTACCTTTGCATGCTTTTATTTAAATTAAATTGTTTAAAGAAGTCCTTAAATTTTTCATGAAGTCGTAGCCTACTGCCAGTTTTTAAGCACCTAAGGCCAGACAATATCACAGACCAGACAACAAAGAAAGCTGGTGATCTGATACATGAAAATAATTCTTACTCTCAGGATTACCAAGCACTTCAGTAAGCTCCCAACCTCTGACATTGCGACCTACACCATCTTCTCAGGCCAGTATCCCAGCACCTACACTCACCCAGCCAGCATGTCTAGTTTTCCTCCTCTCTGTGCTACTGCTGTCTCAAGCTGAGTTTTATCCAAATAAGTGAACTTCCTGCTTGACTCCTTGCTCTGTATCTCCATCACATGCTCTCAACAAAGAGCTTTTAGGCTCCCAGTGCCTACTTGCACTTCTCTAAAAGGGAAAGGGGAAAATCAAGGAGGGCAGATAATTCCCTTCATCATGCAGCTGTGCTGCCCAGCACTGACATTTTTCACAGCACCTAAGTACAAAGACATTGCCTACCATTCTCTGCCCAAAGATTCCAATATCATCATGGAAAATTAGGGTTACGTAAGATTGCTATTTAATACCTTTTCATTAGCTGTGTGCCTGCCATTTTCTGAGCGCTGCCAAGAGTTTCCCACATCCAAATAACTCAAAACTGCCTGACATGAATCTTTTTAAAAAAAGACAAAATAGAAGGAGCAGTTTGCCAAAGTATCCCCCACAAAGACAGGCTAGGGAAGTTGGGGCTGTTCAGCCTGGAGAAGAGAACACAGCGTGGAGACCTCGGAGCAGCCTCA